TTACACAGTTACAGCTATGTGACATTAAACCTGATCATTAACCATTTGTGGATTAAGCACAACGAGACGGATAACAGGCGCTAGCAGGGTAGAGAAGATGGCCGGCTCTTGACATCAAAGGTGCAGTTAGACGATGAGGAAGGAGGAGGCTTCTGGAGTCGGATATATATAGCTTTACAAGAGACAGAATATATATATAAAGCTTCCACATTTTCCTGAAATTTGCACATATTCTGGGTCTCGGTGACAAACCAAAGTTCCCACTTGTACTTGATATCACCAACCTCCTGTTTTATAGTTTTATAACAAAGTTTACCAAAAACATACGACACTAGGAATGTCTTTCCCATCCTCCAGTCTGCTGTGCTTTTATAGAAAAGTCTTTAAAAATGCAGCTGTGAGGCAGAAAGTCTCTGGTAAAGTTTTAAGGACATCTCATCGTTGAAATCTCGCATGAAGACATTTCAGATGCCGCTGTCATGGTAACTGTCAAAATAATCTGCCATAAAGCGGGGTTGAGATGCTGCGGCTCAGCGTTTGATGATAAAGTGGGTCTTTCTGGCCGGGTCCCGCTGCTGACTGTGCACAGCGGTGTTGTCAGCCGGTAAGCTGCTGACCAAAGCCTCCGCCCGCCGCTCCGCTCGGTTATCAACACAGAGACGAGCTGGAAAACCTTATCGAGGGAAAAAGTCAATACGGCTGCCTTTTTCCTAATGCTGTGCCCTTTACAGGAAAGAAAAATGCTTCGACAAGGACCCGATTCTAATCTGTGAAAAAAGTCAGAAGTGTCCTTTAAATTACAGCGTTCAAGGTGAGTTCATCGGGCCTCTGCAGGGTTTCTGCTTCATTTACAATCTGCGAGCAGGACCGGAGGGCGGGGGGGTCCAACTGTTTTATTTCTCTCTTTTCTCCAAACTTCAGACAGAAACAGAGTTCACATTTAATGTTTGTAAATGTGTGTTCGTGGGCAGAGCTACGGAGGCCGTACAGGACCAAAATACAACAGAAAACAGCCTTCTAGTGGAAATATGTGAATGTAGTTCAGCACATTTATAAAAAGGCACATAACTGAGTCATTAGCTGAACATTTACCTGCAACTGTGAACGTGGGCGTTTCTATTTTAATAGAGTTATCGTTCGATAACTCTGACTGTGGGGATGAAGACACGGCGGGTTCAGGAGGAAGAGGAGCCAGTTTGTAGCCAGTTAATGAGTCAGTAACTGTTAACGTTAAACCACTAAATCCTAAACACAGATTTCTATCAAATATAAACAATTTGCCTGAAAAAGTTATCAAACTGCATCCTGACATGTAAGGATTGACGCAAACATTATTAAGAATCACAGAACTTTATTTGAAATTCTAGCCGAGATCTTAAAGTTCACAGCCATTAAAACTGTGGTTTGATTATTCCACTGAATGTTAAAATCATCAATGAAGCAGTGCAGCCAGCAGAGTGAATAATTAGCGGCATATCAACACGTTTATTTATGAATTTAACTGAAGAGGAAAAGAAAGCGAAAATGGGAGTCGAGGAGGTTAACAACACCCAACAGCATCTCGTGCTTTGGTTCCTGGAGCGGTAATGAGAGCTCGGTCCACTACTGCCGGCTGATTGACGGATAAGTGGTGACTCAAACCTGAAGCTGAACTGTAATCTGTTATGCATGAAAGCACTCACTAACCCTAACCCATGTACACCAGTCGCTTCCACGTCCAGGAATCTGCTCTTGTCTCATCGCTCCCTTCACAAAGATGTTATTCACGGTGTCAGTCGGCTGGACGGCTGAGACGGGGAGCGATACGAGTGGGCGGAGGAGGAAGAAAAAAAGGGCTGAATATGAACGACAACAAACAGAAACAGGACTTTTCTAAACCCCCCCCCCCGAGAATGTATTTGTGCAGACGCTTTTATTCTGAAGTTCTGACCCTGCGCTTCTATTCTTGTGCGAACACGCAGTCGGAGCCGAGGCCCAGGTGACTGGACGGTGATAAAACGTGTTGCTATGATACGGGGTGAGAAGATGTGAGGAAGTTCATTAAGGGTGAGGCCTGTGAATGAGAGGGGAGACAAACGAGCGCAGCTTTTGTCCCTGCAGCTCGTCACTACGGCCGGCTGTGCAGCAGACAGACTGAAGATATGACGGCAGAGAACAACTGACCTCCGCAAGCTGCTCCACAGACGCTGTAGCTCCTCCCCGCCTGCACACAGACACACTTCCAACCTTTCTGTTTAACTTACAGACACTTCCACCAGAGCAAGGCCTCCACCAGATTAATATTTGCCTTTTTTTAATCTATATTGATACGGATCCCTTACATTTTTTCCTCTTTTTAAGAGAAGACAGTCCGAAACATATCCAGATACATGGGCTACGATACGGTTCGGGGTTTGTTTAACGTTTGTTTTCCCAAATCTAGAAAAGTGGCATTGTTTACCTTCAAATACTGTTTAAAAAAGCCAGACTTCCTGCAGTCATTCCCTTCGACCTCGCCCAGTTGGAGCTCAGTTGAGTCTGTAAAGTGTTTAATATCTTTATGTGTTGTTGCTCGTGCTAGCAACAGATCTTACAAACAGACAGACTTTTGTCCAACTTTGCTTCTTATAGAATCCAAATGACTTGGACTCCCTTGTAAAAGACATTTTGACTCTCAGTGGGGATATTCTGTGTTCAAATAAAAGGTAAAATAAAATTAAATGCAGTAATAACATTCATAAAAACACAGAATAAGAGACCCAAGACAGTCAGTGTCTCAGACTCACTCATCACAAACAGAAACTAGAAAGTGAGCAGTTTGGGGTTCAGTATGTTGCTCGAGGACGTGCAGCGGGACGAGCCGGGGATCGAACTGACAACCTTCTGATTAGAGGACGACCCGCT